GTTATGTTGGAGCAAGGCAATGATTTTGGCCTCCCCTCCAGGAATTGCGGGGCATCATCACGGGGCCCCCTTCTCCCTCCGCGTAGATTTAAGGTAGGGTGTTCTTGCGGTATTCCGATCCCTCTGCAGAGGGAGGGAGGGAGGGAGGAGAAGGAAGGAAGGAAGGAAGGAAGGAAAGGAGGTGGAGGAAAGGAGGTGGAGGAAGAGAAGGAAGGAAAAGGAAAGAAGGAAGCTGCTTTCACGTCTGAGTGGAGGCTTGCGCAGAAAGGGGGGTATGTTGAAAAGGCTGGGTTCTGGACCACCTCCCTATGAAAGTCTCTCTGCAACAGGCCGGCAGGGTCGGACCAGATGCCGTTACAAGCCTTACGTGGAGTAGCTGGCTTAAATTTCGGCATCGTCAACTTGTGGCCATGAGTCCCGGAAGCCTGTCAAGCCTTACCCGGAGTCTTTCCTTTTGCACCTCCTGCCTTTCAGCTTCACTGGATAATCCCAGACTCCCTTCCTGGAGTAGAAGAGAAGTATCCTGCTCCTTTCCTCAGTGATCCACAGATACTTCCTAGAATCCTTACCGCTTCCCCTACCCTGCGGGTGCCCAATGTCAAGGTTTTCCCTGCCCGAGAGTGAGCTGAAGCCCTACAAGATGCACGTCCAGGCTGTGTCGCTTGAGAAACACTTTTGCTATCCTCATTTCTTCATCTTTCCTTGACCTTCTTTCTTTTAGCCTTGCAAGCTCTTCTCCACAGAAGAGCAGCTGCTGAAGGTCCAGGCGCAGCTGTCCTTGGCTATCAGTTAACCCTTCTGAATCACTTTGCCTTCTGAATCTGATGTGACCTTTGAACCCAGGCTTCCCAGCACCAAATTTCTGCTGGGTGTAGCAAAAGCATTCATAGCACTGCTTGGGAGGTTTGATTTTTGTCTCTTGATTCACGCTGTGGCCTTTGGCTGGTCTTTGTTGCAGGTGGGAGTCTCTGTGCTATGTCTTTGGGGGCCCAGCACCCATATTCCTGGATGCCCATAATCCGCTCTTAGCTCTTACGCCAGGCGTCCTTGATCTCCCACGTTAATGTGGAGCGTGTTGTGCTTTAAAGTGCTCAGGAAAATGCAGCGACGCCACAGTAGCATCACTGACAGCCTTCCTCCAGAAAGGTAAGGACGCCATCGTTCGTAGCCCGCGAGTTGTACATCAGAAAGCCCCTGTTACAATCGGGAAGCAAGAAGTTACACCAGATTGCCCACTACCAAACCAAGAGGCAGCTGGGAACTGTGGTTCCCACTCAAAAGAGACTGGCGTTTGTCCTTCACATCACACAAGCACGAAAAAGAGGTGCAAGAATTTGAACCTTGATTTCACTATAAACAGGGCTTGCGTTTCATACCTAGCAGCCATGGGAATTTCTTTCCTAATGTTTTCTTTAGGTGTTCTGCAGTAAATCTCCTTAAATTCTACATAAATTCTTGTATCCTTGAATGGGATTAACAGGCTAATTGTGCCCAAGGAAGCTAGATTCTCACAAAGGCTTGTTAGGCTTATGGCAAGGAAAAAGGGGGGAGGTCAGACAATCTTAGACAGTGGTTGTGTGTGTATTTTAATCTCCACTTTGTTAGCGAGTGTATTATTACCATGAAGCCTTTGGGCCTCTCTTAGTTTGCTGGGGAGCTGGCTAGCTGTTTAGAAGATATCCATCTGTTCTCATTCTGCAATATTTTGTTCCCAGACTTAGAGAATTTCATAACAGAATGCTGGTTTGATTTTGGTCTAGCTTCCTGAGAGAACTCTGATAATCCGAACGAGCCATTATTGATTGACTTTGACTCTATGTACACGCTGCAGTAACTCCTGGTTTGTTTCAGTCCTAGTTTGTTGAGACAGCCACAAGTGGCTAGGTTCGCACAACATGCTAAACCAGCCCCAAGGATAATGAGGTTCCCGTTTAGACTTAGCATGGGATCTTAGTCTCTGCATTGCTTTGCTGCTTGTTGAACTGTTCCAACAAAGTGTACTCTTAAATTTCCCTTCATGTCTAATCTTTAAAAAACTGGTTCCCAGCCAGTTAGAAATGTTTGATTTAACTATATCACCTGTTAACATTAGAATAATATGTCAGGTTAAGACTGTCATTAAAAAAAAATCTGTGCTCTTACTATCTTAAATAAGTTTATCCACTTGTCTGGATGCATCACTCTCAAGAATCCCATCTCATTAGTTCTTGGGCTTCACCAGTTTCTCCAACCACCCTGAACATGTTTCTGGATGGGTGCGTGGAGACAACCCTGTTTGTGGATGAAACCCAACGGGACTCTTGAAAGCACCATCTTGTTAATTTGGGAGCGCAAGAACCGCCTGTACGAAACCTTGTTGCTGAAAACCCTTGTTATATATAGGCCTTGGAGAATAGCTATAAAAATCTCAGTTCAGAAGCTGCAAGGTAGAAAGTGGTGCCCAGGGAGGTTTCTACATAGCTGAGATATCTGGAGAGGAGGACTTGGAGCCATGAAAGGCTTTGGGGAGAGAGAAGAACTTGAGCAAATTCCCTTAATGCACATGCCAGTTCTAAACTTAGAAATCTCCAAAGGGCTTACAATCCGAAGAGATTTTTCAGGGCTCCAGTACCTATTTTGACTTCAGAACATTGCTAGAGGCCTTTTTCAAGCCTTTTACATGTGGGACACTCCCTTTCTGTCCACCAAACATTTCCTTTGCTTTGGAACTAGCAACTGGTGAGTCAACGTTGATCCACTGATGAATCCATGGGCTGGTTCGTTGATCAACAGCTGGATTATTTCCTAGAGATTTTCACCAGGAATAAAATAGGCGTGGGAGAGAAAAACCCAAGTCCCTTTTCTTTGCTTCTAAACCATATGCTCAAATATCTCAGGAGTCATAATTTTAGGAGAAGCGTTCTGCGTTCTCTCGCCCACTTTGGAAATGCTTGTTTTATTTATTATTGATCTGTTTGTTGCAAGGAAAGTTACCCTCAGATCCAGCTGAACTCCTAGGGGCTACATGGGCATATCCATATTGTTTTCCTGGCAGCAATACATAAGTGGTTTGTCTTTGATCTGTTCAGGGACGGTTCTCCAACTTCCCAGTCTGGCCTACAGCCTTGGGATTCCTAGAGGTCTCCAACCAAGTCCTAACCAGTGCTGATCCCACCTAACCTGTGGTGATCAACTGGGCTTGCCACCTGCTTTAACTAGAATCTCTCTAATTTTATCCATCCAGCAATCCAGGGAGATAAGTAAAAGATATTTACCCAGATTTACTCACCGGCTCTCATGACTGAGGGAACATTGGAATCTGAGTCTCGCTAGTCCTAATCCATCCTTCCAGCCACAATACCATACTGTCCTTCTGTTAAAATGCTGCTTGCCAATTTTTTTAGATCTGCTTGGGTGAAAAACGCTTAAATCATTAAATCAAAAATAGGTCTCCTTCACTGATGAATGCGACTCGACTTCTTAAGTTGCAGAAGTTTCTTTGATTGTTTATTCTTGTTGAAGAACTATACATTTAAAAGGAAACTGCAGAGGAAGACGAATATAAATATCAGCAAGGAAAAAGATGATACATTTCGTTACGTCGTGGAAGAAAATTTGTTTTTAGGAGAAAGTGAATCAGGACTATGTTTCAGCTTCAGTATCTGTTTTCTGGGGGTTGTTTCCTCCTCTAATTTGGTTTGGGAACTTTTTGGATCTGCATCCCAAGGCTGAATAGAGAATATAGCACAGTGTTTTGTTTTGGTATTTTTCAAACTTGGCAACTTTAAGATGGGTGGACTTCAACTCCCAGAATTCCCCAGTGGTTGTCAATCACACTTTATGGCTTCAGAACTGTTTGGGTGTCTCCGATCGTTCCAAGCTGTGATTAAAACAAACCACGGCATATTTATTTACTTGCTTCTTATCCTCCCGCAATCTTGTGACTCTTGGTGGTTCCAAAGCTGTCACTGAAAACACAAGAACAGAATTAAAGCGACACGCGATCCAAATGGTAAAAACCACATCGAAGAGACGAAAATGATAAGAACCATAAGAAAGAGGGGCTGGTGATGTTGCTACACGGCATCTTGAAAAAGCTCTGTTTTTAATAACTTCCCAGAAGCTGTTGGGGCAGGGTTCTGCGAGCTGTGAATTCGGTTTAAAAGCGGATGCCAGGCGGTTTTGTGGCCTGAGGTCACATAACCTGAGATGATGCTTTGAGGAGGCCACGTTGGCTGTTTTCAGAAGCCATCTTTGCTCAGGCATGGAGGGGAAAGTGGACGTCTGCCCAGCATAAATACATGGACTTGCTGGAGGATATTAGAGATGCAGCCTTGAAAGGAGCAGAGGGAAATGTGGGGTGCTCCCCATTTTGGGGGGAGAAGTGGCAAATAAAAATTTCCTCCCACCCCACTCCCCCCAAAACAATTGCCAGTTATTTTTACAGGCGTTACCCCTAGAAGATCAGGGGCTAATGGTTTGATCTTGGGCCTTCACCCTGTCTTCCCCCCGTGTCTTCCAGAAGCCGGAGCCAAGCCGTCACCTCCGAGAGCAGCGTGGACGAAGGTGGCGTTTTTGAAAGCCTCAAGACGGAAGCCCCCTCCCCTCAGCTTTTCTCGGGGCTGGGGGGGATCCCCTCGGGCAGCCTCTCCGCCACCCCTTTCCAGTCGAGTCTGGTCCTTGGATCCTCAGCCGGAGGAGCAGAGGTGTTCATTCAGATGCCCGCTGCCCGGGAGGAGGGGCCGAGCCGGACAGAGGCGGGGCTTTATCACTATCGGCAACCGCACCATTACCATCCCAGCCACCCGAGAGGGTCCTCCCTGCTCCACATGGGTGGTGCTGAGCGCCACGGGCATCCCGAAGAGACGGCCGAGGATCCGCCTGGCACCCCAGCGCCCGCTCTTCCCGAGATGAAAGCCATGATCTCGTGGCTGCAGGAGGGGCTGCCCTTCATCCTGATCCTTCTGGCTAAACTTTGTTTCCAGCATAAATTGGGTAAGAGGCTTGATGGAACAAGAGAGAAATCGCTCTGGGGATTCAAGCAGAAATCCCGCGAACCTAGTTCATGCATCATCTCTGGCAGGAAGAGGCAGAGACTCCGTTAGCAAGGCCAGGGGCATTCACCCCAAACACCCTCTGAAACAGGTCCCCACTGCCAAGTTTGGGGCCCCCCAGCTCTCATGGCCTTCTCAAAGTGGTTTGAAGCACATGGATAGATGTGTGTAGCACCCCTCACTGCTGTTTAAACCAAATATGTTTTTTCCCCGAGATCATGCTTCTGCTGCAGAAGGCAGACATGTGATCCTGGAAAATGGATGCAGCTGCTTTAAAAAGTTGTTGACGAAGCTGTTCGTTCATGCAGCCCACAGTCCAAAGCACTTTTCCCCCTTCTAGCCCTAGAAAATGTACCTCTCGTCCTTCTACTGGCACTCACAGGACGTTTGTGTCTCTGTGTGTGTGTGTATGCATGCATATAAGTGTGCCCAAGTCAGTCTTGACTCCTGGGGATTGCCTGGGCAAGTCCCTGCATTTTTTGGGGGGGTGAGCAAGATTTTTGGAAGTGGTTTGCCCTGGCCGCCTCCTCCTTCCCAGGGCTGAGACAGAAGGGACTGGCCCAAAGTCACCCAGCTGGCTTCATGCAGAACTAAGGCAGGGCTAGAACTCTCCACGTCTCAGTTTCTCGCCTGTACTAGAACACAACAGCAATGACACCAAGCTATACCAAGCGTTTTCATTTTTAAGTAGCTATAAACTAACTATAAAAGTAGTTTATATTTATAATTTAAAAGGACACAAAAGAACATGCCATGGAAGAGTATCAATTCCTCCCGGAAGGTGTCTGTATGTGCTTGATTATTTGCTTATCTGTTGAATAGCATTTGTTATTTATTTAACTGTATTATTGTTTGCTTATTATTATTTACCTACATTGATTTGTTGTTGTTTGTTTAAATGTATTGGCTGCCCAACTTTACCTTGTCGAACGAAACTACTTGGTTAACTAACCCAGAGATTAGCATCTTCTGGCACCAGTTCTCACGTTTCTTTGGACCTGGATGAGGAAAGCAAGGCAAAACGCCTTCCCTGCACGTGGGAACCGAGGGACCTGCCCGCTACCCGGGAGGCCAGAGTGAAGTGGCTGCCAATTGCCAGGTGCCAGATCGAAAGATTCTCTCCCTTCCCTTACAGGAATTGCTCTCTGCGTGGGCATGGCCAGCACATTTGCATATGCAAATTCAGCCCTCCGGGAACAAGTCTCCTTGAAGGTGGGTTGCGGTCCCCGCCGCGGGCTCAGGGAACGAGAGGCTGAGATGGGCTTCTTTCAGGGCACGTAGCGCAATTTTACTCCACCCCGTTGCTTTCAGATCCCAAGCCTGCTGCAACGTATAAGGTTGCCCCTTTGTGTGCAGCAGCGCTCAAAATTCGTCGGATGATGACCGTTGCTTGGGGCTCAACTGTATAAACCGCATCTGACGGGCACCTAGTGGGCCATATTAGAGTGGGTTGTAACTAGATAGATAGATAGATAGATAGATAGATAGATAGATAGATAGATAGATAGATAGATAGATCGATTGATCGATCAACGGATGGATGGATGGATGGAGCAATGGATGGATGGACGGACGGACGGACGGACAGAGATAGATAGATAGATAGATAGATAGATAGATAGATAGATAGATAGATAGATCAACAGATGGATGGAT